GGGCGGCCACTGCACTCCAGTCTGGGCGACCGAGTGAGACGCCAACTCAAAAAAAAAAAAGGGCCAGGCCAGTGGCTCACGCCTGTAATCCCAACACTGAGAGTCCAAGGTGGAAAGATGGCTTGAGCCCAGGAGTTCGAGACCAACCTAGGCAACATAGCGAAAACTCATCTCTACAAAAAAAAAAATTAGCCAAGTATGGTGGCACCTGCCTGTAGTCCCAGCTACTTGAGATGCTGAGGTGGAAGGATTGCCCGAGCCTAGGAGGTCGAGGCTGCCATGAGCCATGATTGTGCCACTGCTCTCCAACCTGGGCGACAGAGAGAGACTGGACTAACAAAAAAGAAAAAAGCGGGGAGGGGCCAGGCACAGTGGCTCATAGTGTAATCCGAGCACTTTGGGAGGCTGAAGTGGGAGGGCCACTTGAGCCCAGGAGTTCAAAACCAGCCTGGACAACATAGCAAGATCTCATCTCTATTAAAAAAAAATTTTTTTTTAATTACCCATGCATGGTGGCGTGTGCCTGTAGTCCCAGCTACTCGGGAGACTGAGGCGGAAGGGTCACCTGAGTCCAGAAGGTCGAGGCTGCGGTGGCTATGAGCGTGCCACTGCACTTCCAGCCTGGGCGATGGAGTGAGACGCCGACTCAAAAATAAGAAAAAAGAACCTTCCTAGAAGCCACTGCTCTCTCAGGGTCTGCCTCTCTCCAGCTCTGAGCCAGGCCCTACGGCCGTTTTAGTGGCAGCCTGAGAAAGGGTTAGAGGCAAAGGGAAGCACTGAGCTATTTAGAAACAGCACTTTGGCCGGGCTTGGTGGCTCAGCCTGTCATCCCAGAACTTTGGCAGGCCGAGGCAAATGGATTGCCTGAGCCTGCAGGTTCGAGACCAGCCCGGGCAACTTGGCAAGACCTCATCTCTACAATAAAATAAAAAATAACCGGGCAGGGTAGCACGCGTCTGTAGTTCTGGGCTACTCGGAAGGCTGAGGCGGAAGGATCACTGGAGCCCAGCTAGGAAGATTCTCGACGTCTGGCCTTGAAGCCTACAACCTGGGGTAACCATTCACGTAGCCACACTCGTTTTCCTTGCTAGGCTTTATTATAGTAACAAAGTGATTATTTTAATAATAGCAGAGTACTTGTAGGCAAGAGGGTGGCTGCATCTCGGCGAAGTCCCCTTCCCTGGCGTTTCAGCCCCGGGCTGGCCAGAGTCATCTTCTAAATGTAATGCACCTGGCCAGCCACTGGGTGTCCCCACGCACTCAATGGTGGCGATCAAGGCTAGGAACAAGAATGTGAGGCGGGTGAAAATAGATTCAGGAAAGGGCATTGTAGCTGGAATGCAGTGGGATGGGGCCCGATGGGGGGGTGGCTTTCAGAGACCAAGAGACCTCTCTGGATCAGGTTTCCTGACCGACCATTTCCCCTGGAAGGAGCCAGAGCTTGGGTTCCTGGGAGTAGCCCTGGCTTCCAGCGGCATGGTGCCAGGCTCAGGCTTGTAGCCCCGAGTCTAAGGAGCGGCCCCTTCAGTAAAACAGATGCCCTTGCTGTGCCCGCTGCCTGCCCCTCGGCCCTTCCCCCATGACTCCGGGCCCGTGAGCCTTTGGGCGCAGGAAAGCATTCACTGTAGAGACACCAGTGAGAAATCGCTCCTTCCCTGTCTTCAGATGAAGACACAGAGCTTGGGATACAAAGCGAGAAGTCGGGGCAGTGACAGGCCCGGGGAGGACAGACGTAGGCAAGGGGGCCTCGGCCCTGGTCTTCAGGCCGCGGCGCGAAGTGGGAGGCTCGGGCCAGCCGTGGGCCCCGGCCCCGGCCCTCAGAGCCAGCCATTGCTGGTGAAATCCGCACGCAGCGCCTCCTCCTCGCTGGGGCTCAGCTCCCCCAGGGGCGCGCGGCAGGGGCCGCCGTAGTAGCCCAGCCAGTCCATGGCCTTCTTCAGCCCCGGGATGCCAAAGCGCCGGGTCACCTGCAAAGCAGGGCCTGTTAGACCCGGGGAACCGTCCCCTGCGCACACGTAGCTGGGACCCAGACAGCTGTCCCTTCTGGAAAGCTGGAGTTCCCGCCCTTGTCCCCGGAAAGCCACTACCAGATCCGCGTCACCCAGGGTGGACTGGGAATCCAGATGGAGAGAACAGGAAGCAGGTCAGTCACAGCACAATGCAAAACCACGGGTGAAGGAAGGGAAGCCTCTCTTTGGCTTTTAGGAGAAAAACGCAGCCCAGCAGGGCTGAGTCCTCAGGCCACAGGGCTGGCGCAAGGGTCACCATCAGCCGCCCAGTTTCCTGGACTCTGATGCGGGGCATCCAGGGCCTGGGGAGTTAGGAAGGGGCGGGGTCTCTGAGAGCCTCAGGCCCAGCCCAGACCCCCGCTCCCCTTCCTTCAGGCTCTCGTCCCACCCAGAACTCCTTCCTGACCCGGACTCCAAAAGCCTCGGAGTGCATGGCTGCCCAGAGAAGTTTGTTATTATCTCTGAGAAGTTCTCTTGTCTAAAAAAATGAGGAGAGGCCAGGAGCAGTGGTTCACGCCTGTAATCTCAGAGCTTTAGGAGACCAACACAGGAAGACTGCTTGAGGCCAGGGATTCGAGACAAGCCTGGGTGACCTAGCAAGAACCTATTTCTACAAAATATAAAATAAATTAGCTAGGCGTGGTAGTGCATGCCTACAGGCCCAGCTACTTGGGAGGCTGGGGCGGGAGGATTGCTGAAGCCCAGGAGTTCAAGGCGGCAGTGAGCTATGATCATGCCACTGCACTCCAGCCTGGACATCAGTGCGAGACCATGTCTCTAATAATAATAATAATAATAGCCAGGCTTGGTGGCTCAGCCTGTAATCCCATGCCTTGCGAGGCTGAGGTGAGTAGGATTGCCTGAGCCCGTGGGTTCGAGACCTGCCTGGGCAACTTGGCGAGACCTCGTCTGGACAATAAATCAAAAACAATTAGCCGGGCGTGGTAGCGCGCGCCTGTAGTTCCAGCTACTCGGAAGGCTGAGGCAGAAGGATTGCCGGAGCCCAGCAGGTCGAGGCTGTGGTGGCCGGGAGCGGCCACTGGACTCCAGTCTGGGCGACAGAGTGAGACTCCAACTCAAAATAATAATAATAATAACAACAACAATAAAATGAAATAAAGTAAGAGGGGACTGGACAGAATGATTTCTAAAGGCTTTTTCCTGATAGTGGGTCTTGAAACTGCTGTCATAATTTTTAAATCATGCATGAAATTTTACAGAATAAATGAAGCATCAAGTTTCTTTTTTTTTTCCCTCTGGAGTGCAGTAGCATGTCACGGCTCCCCTAGCATCAACCTGCTGGACTCTGACGATCCTTCTGCCTCAGCCTTCCAAGTAGCCAGAATTACAGGTGTGTACTACCACACCCGGCTAATTTTGGATCTATTGTAGAGATGAGGTCTCGCCAAGTTGCCCAGGCTTGTCTCACACCCACGGGCTCAGGCAATCCACTAGCCTCGGCTTCCTAAAGTGCTGGGATTACAGGCTGAGCCACCGAGCCTGGTCAAGCAACAAGTTTCTTTGCTTTCGGTATAGTCACTAGATATTTCATGCTGATCAGAAGTGTTAGAAGAATCTTTGACTACCTAAAAACTAGGAAAGCTATCCTTACTTTAAAAAGTTTTATTTGGACTGGGCTTGGTGGCTCAGCCTGTAATCTCAGCACTTTGGGAGGCCGAGGCGAATGGATTGCCTTAGCCCGCCGGTTCGAGACCCACCCACGCAACTGGGTGAGACCTTGTCTCTACAATAAACAAAAACATTAGCCGGGTGTGGTAGCACATGCCTGTAGTTCCAGCTACTTGGAAGGTTGAGGAAGAAGGATCGCCAGAAGCCTAGCAGATGGAGGCTGCGGTGGCCGGGAGCGTGCCACTGCATTCCAGTCTGGGCGGCAGAGTGAGACTCTGACTCAAAAAAAAAAGTTTTATTTGGAGGGAAGCTAGAACCTTAGAGGGATGGGCTTCATGAAGGATGAAGATAATAAGAGGTTATAGGCTGGGCTCGGTGGCTGAGTCTATAATCCTAGCACTTTGGGAGGCCAAGGTGAGTGGATTGCCTGAGCCCGCGGGTTCAAGACCAGCCCGGGCAACTTTCAAGACCTTGTCTCTACAATAAATCAAAAAATTAGCTGGGTGTGGTAGTGTGTGCCTGTAGTTCTGGCTACTAGGAAGGCTGAGGCGGAAGGATTGCCAGAGTCCAGCAGGCTGATGCCGGGGTGGCTGTGAACGTGCCACTGTACTCCAGCCTGGGCGACGGAGTGAGACTCTGACTCAAAAAAAAAAAGAGGTTGTTTTGGGTTAGAAGATTGGGAACCATTGAGGAAAGATTAACTGGGCCAGGCATGGTGGCTCATCCCTGTAATACCAGCACTTTGGGAGGCCGAGGTGGAAGGATCATTTGAGACCAGGAGTTTGAGACCAGCCTGGTCAACTTTCAAGACCTTGTCTCTACAATAAATCAAAAAAGTGAGACCTCATATCTATTCATTAATTAATTATTTTAAAAAACGGACTAGTTGCTATTCAACTGTAGAGACCAGCAGGCTTTAGCAGGCATGGACTTCTTCCTTGGGATGGGTGGTAAGCCACACCCCCTAGCCCTAGTACCCCATGATGTTCTAACGGTCTGATCTTTTTGATTCCTTTTTCTGAGTCGGAGTTTCGCTCTGTCACCCAGGCTGGAGTGCAGTGGTACCATTCACAGCCACCGCAGCCTCGATTTGCTGGGCTCAGGTGATCCTTCCGCCTCAGCCTTCCAAGTAGCTGGATCCACAGGCGCGTGCTACCACGCCCGGCTAATTTTTTGATTTATTGTAGAGATGAGGTCTCGCCAAGTTGCCCAGGCTTGTCTCAAACCTGCGGGCTCAGGCAATCCACTCACCTCGGCCTCCCAAAGCGCTGGGATTACAGGTTGAGCCACCGAGCCCGGCCCAGCCTGGCCTTTTTACCCAAAGCCTGAGTAGCTGGGAAGGACCAGGGAGAGGATGGAAATGAGAGGCAGGTAGGGAAAAGCCTGCTTCTGCCAAGAATTTCCGAAGACTTCCTGTGTGACCCCGCTTAAGACCCAGAGAAAGGGTTGAATACCTTGGTGGGAAAGACAGCAGATGGTCCTAAATATAACTGGTGCAGGAGGCAGCCCGGGGGGAAGCGGAAGAAGGACATTGTGTTCGACCAGGGCAGGGCAGTAGGGTGACATCAAACTGCTCTCGTTGTGTCTGAGCCCACAGCCCAGGCAGCAGAAAGGTGTTCCAGGCATTCCTGAGCGCGTGCCCAGAGCAGGCGCAGGAGAGGGCGCAGAACGAGGGGTGAGGCAGGGGTGGGTGACAGGCAGAGCCCGGACAGCAGCCAAGCATCCTCTCCCCGGGGCTGCCCGTGCTGCCTCGTCCGTGAAATGAGGTGTTCACAACCCCTGCCCCTTGGAGACCTCACAGGGGCCAGAAGAGAAAGCACCGCTAATATTAGACCCGTCCTCCTGAGCCCTGAAGCGCCTCCCTTTCCTGTCTGGTTCTAGGGCCTTCTCTTTCACAGGTGGATGGGAGTGGGCAAGCAGAGGCCCCACCCCCGTGGAATGTCCAGCATGTGCAGGACAGCCTGTGCCCTGACGGGGGCCCTCATTCCTGCAAGTTCTTCCAGCCTATTTATAGTGTCTGATCCCAGGAGCGCGTCACATGCGGGAGACTCACGCTTGCCTGCTCTGTGGGCCTTTCTCTATATCCGACTTCATCTGTCCCTTTGGGGTAAGCATACAAGCTAAGAGGGAAATCTGGAGCCTCCCAACCCTTGGTCCGAACAAAACACGTGGTGGAGTGCCCAGCTCGGCCTGGGACTACGGCGAGGCCAGAAGGCCCTCCCCACCCCGGGCAAAACTTAAGGGGATGTCAGAAAACCCCATCACCAAGTCAAGTACTATCTCAAGGCAATATATATATATATATATATATTTTTTTTTTTTTTTTCTTTTTGAGTTGGAGTCTCACTCCGTTGCCCAGGCTGGAGTGCAGTGGCATGCTCACAGTCATCGCAGCCTCGACACAGCCTCGACCTGCTGGGCTCTGACGATCCTTCCACCTCAGCCTTCCAAGTAGCCAGAACTACAGGCATGCACTACCATACCTGGCTAATTTTTGGTTTCATTGTAGAGAAGAGATCTTGCCAAGTTGCTCGGGCTGGTCTTGAGCCCATAGGCTTCAGCAATTTACTCACCTCGGCCTTCCAAAGTGCTGGGATTACAGGCTGTGCCACCGAGTCTGGCCAATTTTTCTTGATTTACTGTAGTGATGAGGTCTTGTCAACTTGCCCAGGCTGGTCTAGAACCTGAGGGCTCAGCCTATTCTCTTGCCTCTGCCTCCCAAAGTCCTGGGATTACAGGCATGAGCCACCACAGTCAACTTTAGAAAAAAATTTAACCATTAAAAAGTACATTTTAGGCCAGGTGCAGTGGCTCACGTCTGTAATTCCAGCACTTTGGGAGGCTGAGGAGAGAGAATTGCCTGAGTCCAGGGGTTCGAGACCAGCCTGGGCAACTTGGCGAGAGCTTGTCTTTACAAAAAATCAAAAAATTAGCTGGACATGGTGGCACATGCCTATGGTTCCAGCTCCTCGGAAGGCTGAGGTAGAGGGATCACCTGAGCCCCGCAGGTCGAGGCTGCGGTGGCCATGAGCATGCCACTGCACTCCAGCCTGGGTGATAGAGTGAGACTCTGACTCAACCCCCCCAAAAACAAAAAAATATATTTTAAAAAGTCTATAGGGGCACACATGACTGCTTTGTCTGTCATATGGGAAGACACAGCTCTGTCAGATCCTGTCTTTATTTAACACATTGATCATCATGATTTTTTTTTTTGCATTGATTTTGATTTTTTAAAAATAATAGTTCTGGCTACTTGGAAGGCTGAGGTGGAAGGATCACCGGAGCCCAGCAGGTCGACACTGGGGTGGCCATGAGTGTGCTACTGT